CTGCATAGATCTAGAAAGAAAGTCTAGTATTGACAACAGCAGTAGCAAGGACTTCTTACTTCTAATTGAATTGCTTATGGCTTTTTTTTTTTTTTTTTTGGGGGGGGGGAGAGATTTTCACTATAGGGCGCGTGCGCTCGCTAGACAGACAGAGAGAGACATAGAGACAGAAAGCGAGAAATCACCCCCCGGGGGGATGGTCATGCCGCAATCCCTTCTCCTCCATTCTCCTCTCAGGATCTTGGGCACACATGCACACGCGCCCGGCGTGAGTTTTAAGCCACCGGGTCCGGGACGAGAACCACAGTCGACTACGTGGGAGTCCAGTGACATAGCCATTACGCTAACTGCTGGTTCCCACTGCTTATGGCTTTTTGAGGCAGTAAGCTTTCCTGTCTAAAAATGCTTGTGAAGTGGGCTGACACGCCAGGAATACTCTGTAAGAGTGGAGGCTAGCATATGGAACCACAGAGTCCCTCAACTTGATTTCAGACACATGTAAAATCCCAGAGCAGGGGCTTCAGGTTTTTCCATAACCTGAAACTTCGTTTTCCTGTGACCCCATCAACCACCAGTCTTAGTAAATACAATGTCCTTCTAGAATCTGCATCCGGCATGGCCATGTCTGTGCCTGAGAACGTTGACTGCAGCATTGTTTGTAATTCTTTTTAAAGAATTATTTATTTATTTATTATTTTAATTTGCTACAGGGTACATGTACTCTCCAGAGAGAGACTGAGAAAGGAAGCTGCCAGGTCTCAACTCAAACTAGTCAGTCAGTACCTTAACTACCATGCCGTCTCCTGGCCCCATATTTACAATTTTTTAAAATGAAATCTGAAAGGCCACTCACAAGGGCATTTTGAAATAAATGATAGAATAATGGAGTATAGATGGAATAAAATGAATGTGTTGGATGGTGAAAGAGGTCCATGTAATATATATGAAACAGTACGACTCTCAGAAAGTGACATATATTAAAGATCGTAAGCAAATTAACTCTAGTTCTATTTTTCAAATAAAAAAACCATAACATTTTAACAGCCAATACAGAGTAGGCTGGAATAATTTTCTAAAGAATTCAATAAACTTAAAAATGTTGATTCAATATAGTTTTGCTTTAATAGCATATATTGAAAGATTTAGGGCTTGGGGTTTGTTTCTTCCTTTTGCCAGAATGAGCTCATGTAACCAGCTCTGTCTCAGATCCACTATGCCTCGCCACTTAAAACATTCGGGAGCATACTAATTAAGTCCAGTGATAGGACACTAAATGTAGAAGTTAAATGTACAGTTCAAAATAAAATAGATTACTGCAGCTCAGGATCACTAAGTAAGCCTATTCCTAATCACGTGGTCTGGGCCGACACTTAGGAAAAGACCGTGGCTACCAGCCAGCGTGTGGTGGCTGCGGTGGTCAGATCTTACATGGCCAACTGCACAGCTCGGGACCTGGACCCAGTGGCTTGAGAAACACACCAGGTGCACTCATGTGTGCCTGTGTGTCCCAAATCCCAAAAGGCGAGGGAAATGGAGGAAAAGGGATTGGGGCGCGGCCATGTCCCATGGGAGTGTTTTCTCCCTTTATTGTCTCTCAGACAAGCGCACACACCCTCTAGCAAATTGAAAATATATATATATATATCGTAGGCTTGCACTTTCTCCACAAATCCATGTATGAACAGGCCATTAGTAGAACGAACTCACACACAAACAGAGGTGAGGTAATGATACGCCGTCGGTCTCCCCACCACGAACACCGAACTCGGATTTTGGCGACCTACCCCCATTTACCACACCCCTGTGCACTGCGGAGTGCAGACCGAGGCCGTAACGAGCTCTAACGTTCACCTAGCACCTAGCCGGGCCGGACCCAGCTCCGAGAGCTGAGCGCCACTCCGTGTGACACTCACAAACCGCGTGCAACAGGCACACCTCCACCTGGGCAGCGGAGGAAACCGAGGAGAGACTATGGACGACCTCAGAAAGAAGGGGGTCCACTGTGCTTCAATAAAACATTCTTCCCTTGCGACTCTCCACTGGGTAACATGGAAATGCATTTGTATGCCACTCGGGCTGTTTCCCCACGCAACTCTCATGTAAATCCGCCCCTCCTCCAACCTCCTCCCCACCCAGTGGGGTGAGCCTGTTCCCTCACTGAGCTATGCTGGCACCCCGGCTTCCTCCAAAGGACTAACAACGTGACAACAATGACATGGGTGTGGATGGCCCCGCGGCAAGGCCACCGAGAGCTACGCGAGAAAGCCAGGTCCCACATGGCCAGCCAGGTTCTGGTCCCCATCTGGTGCACACACGCCCAGGGTCCTGGCGGGCTGGAGGACTGGAGGAAAGGGGACGCGGTGTGACCAGGCCCCACGGGTGCTTTCTCACGCCCCCCGCCCATGCACGTGCCTGCGCCCACTGGCATCAAGAAAGAAACTACACGAATGCAGATTTCATCACGGGCCTAAAAACGAGGCCTAAACACGGCATTTCAGAGTGGGATGGAGAAGGTCCCCTCCTCACTCCCACACAACCCGAAACTGAGGCGAAAGAAGGCGGGACAAGAGCGGGGAGAGGACAGAAGGAACAAAACCTCAGATGGCCGTGGCTAGCAGAGGCAGGACTCCCGGTGTCTGCACACACGCACTGGGCTTTCACTCAGCCCACGGTCGGGGTCCACTGGGAGCTCAGGGGCCTAAGGGAGGTCAGGGAGGACGCTTCGGGGTTCACCACCGCAGGCAGCCAGGGTATTGGCTGGGTAAAGTAGGGCCTACACTCTTACCTACTCCTTTAAGTCCCTTCTGAGTGCCAGCATGTTCCACTTTGACAAGCTAATCAACACAACTGGAAATGCTGCCGCAACGGAACATGATGCTTGGTGACAAAGGTGTTACGATGCGCTAAAACGCTGATCTTTTCTCTTCTTTTGACTTTTATGCATTTGTTCCATGAGGGAAAAAGACACAGAAAGATAGAGACAGACAGACGGAAAGACAGACGTAGGCTTGCACTTTCTCCACAAATCCATGTATGAACAGGCCATTAGTAGAACGAACTCACACACAAACAGAGGTGAGGTAATGATACGCCGTCGGTCTCCCCACCACGAACACCGAACTCGGATTTTGGCGACCTACCCCCATTTACCACACCCCTGTGCACTGCGGAGTGCAGACCGAGGCCGTAACGAGCTCTAACGTTCACCTAGCACCTAGCCGGGCCGGACCCAGCTCCGAGAGCTGAGCGCCACTCCGTGTGACACTCACAAACCGCGTGCAACAGGCACACCTCCACCTGGGCAGCGGAGGAAACCGAGGAGAGACTATGGACGACCTCGGAAAGAAGGGTGTCCACTGTGCTTCAATAAAACATTCTTCCCTTGCGACTCTCCACTGGGTAACATGGAAATGCATTTGTATGCCACTCGGGCTGTTTCCCCACGCAACTCTCATGTAAATCCGCCCCTCCTCCAACCTCCTCCCCACCCAGTGGGGTGAGCCTGTTCCCTCACTGAGCTATGCTGGCACCCCGGCTTCCTCCAAAGGACTAACAACGTGACAACAATGACATGGGTGTGGATGGCCCCGCGGCAAGGCCACCGAGAGCTACGCGAGAAAGCCAGGTCCCACATGGCCAGCCAGGTTCTGGTCCCCATCTGGTGCACACACGCCCAGGGTCCTGGCGGGCTGGAGGACTGGAGGAAAGGGGACGCGGTGTGACCAGGCCCCACGGGTGCTTTCTCACGCCCCCCGCCCATGCACGTGCCTGCGCCCACTGGCATCAAGAAAGAAACTACACGAATGCAGATTTCATCACGGGCCTAAAAACGAGGCCTAAACACGGCATTTCAGAGTGGGATGGAGAAGGTCCCCTCCTCACTCCCACACAACCCGAAACTGAGGCGAAAGAAGGCGGGACAAGAGCGGGGAGAGGACAGAAGGAACAAAACCTCAGATGGCCGTGGCTAGCAGAGGCAGGACTCCCGGTGTCTGCACACACGCACTGGGCTTTCACTCAGCCCACGGTCGGGGTCCACTGGGAGCTCAGGGGCCTAAGGGAGGTCAGGGAGGACGCTTCGGGGTTCACCACCGCAGGCAGCCAGGGTATTGGCTGGGGGAAGGAGGGGCTACACTCTTACCTACTCCTTTAAGTCCCTTCTGAGTGCCAGCATGTTCCACTTTGACAAGCTAATCAACACAACTGGAAATGCTGCCGCAACGGAACATGATGCTTGGTGACAAAGGTGTTACGATGCGCTAAAACGCTGATCTTTTCTCTTCTTTTGACTTTTATGCATTTGTTCCATGAGGGAAAAAGACACAGAAAGATAGAGACAGACAGACGGAAAGACAGACACCCCCGACAGTCCTGCTGCAGTGAGCCCACTCAGCCAGCCCTGGAACATGGCACACATGGACGCACACGCGAGGTCTGCAGCGGTGACTTCTGCACGCGGCCGGCCTCACTGAGCAGCACAGCTCCCTGCTGCCCGCTGTCTGGCTGCATGTGCCCTTTAATACTAGGAGCAATTATATTTCCATGCCTGTAGAGATAAATGAAACATCTGGCTGGCTGATACTAAAGCTACAACAATAAAAGAATTACCTGGCTCTCTGAGTGCATGTTTACACTTGCAAACTGAGCGTGCCAACTGCTTCCTCTAGGCAGTTCGAATGGCGACTTCCACATGCGTGAACGGCTCGGCAGTGGTGCTCCAGGGAAGGCCAGCAAGCAGACGCCAAGTCCACTGCCACACCACCAGCTTCAGGCCTTTGCAGACACTCCCCTCAGACGCTCCCCTCACACGCTCCCCCTCACACACTCCCCCTCACACACTCGCCTGCCCCCTGCAATGCCAGTCAAAGGGTAACCAGAGGTGCATTACAAACCTGGGTGGCAGAGGTCCAGGTGTTAGCCCCTGGTTTTAATCTGATTCAACTAAAGCTTTCTGTCTCCCCCGTACATGTGCTTGTCCAAAATCAGAGTCAATACTGTACCTGGTTATTTCTTCTTTAAGTTTACATGGATCTTCGGCATAGAATTTAATACCAAAATACAAGGTATATGGAGGTCCAGCTAAAAAGAGAAATAGAAATGAATTAATTTTACATTATTAATTAGACAAAATGGTAGTGCAGTATTATATGGCTATTACCAATCACACTTACCAGGAATTTATACAGATACAAAAAGTGCACTTTCAGAAAACAGGGCTCAGGGTGTGTGACAGAGGGCCTCCCCTATGATGAACACATGCCTGTGTGCACACGCATATTAAACACACAGAGGAAAGGCAGGGCTCAGGGTGTGTGACAGAGGGCCTCCCCTATGATGAACACATGCCTGTGTGCACACGCATATTAAACACACAGAGGAAAGGCAGGGCTCAGGGTGTGTGACAGAGGGCCTCCCCTATGATGAACACATGCCTGTGTGCACACGCATATTAAACACACAGAGGAAAGGCAGGGCTCAGGGTGTGTGACAGAGGGCCTCCCCTATGATGAACACATGCCTGTGTGCACACGCATATTAAACACACAGAGGAAAGGCAGGGCTCAGGGTGTGTGACAGAGGGCCTCCCCTATGATGAACACATGCCTGTGTGCACACGCATATTAAACACACAGAGGAAAGGCAGGGCTCAGGGTGTGTGACAGAGGGCCTCCCCTATGATGAACACATGCCTGTGTGCACACGCATATTAAACACACAGAGGAAAGGCAGGGCTCAGGGTGTGTGACAGAGGGCCTCCCCTATGATGAACACATGCCTGTGTGCACACGCATATTAAACACACAGAGGAAAGGCAGGGCTCAGGGTGTGTGACAGAGGGCCTCCCCTATGATGAACACATGCCTGTGTGCACACGCATATTAAACACACAGAGGAAAGGCAGGGCTCAGGGTGTGTGACAGAGGGCCTCCCCTATGATGAACACATGCCTGTGTGCACACGCATATTAAACACACAGAGGAAAGGCAGGGCTCAGGGTGTGTGACAGAGGGCCTCCCCTATGATGAACACATGCCTGTGTGCACACGCATATTAAACACACAGAGGAAAGGCAGGGCTCAGGGTGTGTGACAGAGGGCCTCCCCTATGATGAACACATGCCTGTGTGCACACGCATATTAAACACACAGAGGAAAGGCAGGGCTCAGGGTGTGTGACAGAGGGCCTCCCCTATGATGAACACATGCCTGTGTGCACACGCATATTAAACACACAGAGGAAAGGCAGGGCTCAGGGTGTGTGACAGAGGGCCTCCCCTATGATGAACACATGCCTGTGTGCACACGCATATTAAACACACAGAGGAAAGGCAGGGCTCAGGGTGTGTGACAGAGGGCCTCCCCTATGATGAACACATGCCTGTGTGCACACGCATATTAAACACACAGAGGAAAGGCAGGGCTCAGGGTGTGTGACAGAGGGCCTCCCCTATGATGAACACATGCCTGTGTGCACACGCATATTAAACACACAGAGGAAAGGCAGGGCTCAGGGTGTGTGACAGAGGGCCTCCCCTATGATGAACACATGCCTGTGTGCACACGCATATTAAACACACAGAGGAAAGGCAGGGCTCAGGGTGTGTGACAGAGGGCCTCCCCTATGATGAACACATGCCTGTGTGCACACGCATATTAAACACACAGAGGAAAGGCAGGGCTCAGGGTGTGTGACAGAGGGCCTCCCCTATGATGAACACATGCCTGTGTGCACACGCATATTAAACACACAGAGGAAAGGCAGGGCTCAGGGTGTGTGACAGAGGGCCTCCCCTATGATGAACACATGCCTGTGTGCACACGCATATTAAACACACAGAGGAAAGGCAGGGCTCAGGGTGTGTGACAGAGGGCCTCCCCTATGATGAACACATGCCTGTGTGCACACGCATATTAAACACACAGAGGAAAGGCAGGGCTCAGGGTGTGTGACAGAGGGCCTCCCCTATGATGAACACATGCCTGTGTGCACACGCATATTAAACACACAGAGGAAAGGCAGGGCTCAGGGTGTGTGACAGAGGGCCTCCCCTATGATGAACACATGCCTGTGTGCACACGCATATTAAACACACAGAGGAAAGGCAGGGCTCAGGGTGTGTGACAGAGGGCCTCCCCTATGATGAACACATGCCTGTGTGCACACGCATATTAAACACACAGAGGAAAGGCAGGGCTCAGGGTGTGTGACAGAGGGCCTCCCCTATGATGAACACATGCCTGTGTGCACACGCATATTAAACACACAGAGGAAAGGCAGGGCTCAGGGTGTGTGACAGAGGGCCTCCCCTATGATGAACACATGCCTGTGTGCACACGCATATTAAACACACAGAGGAAAGGCAGGGCTCAGGGTGTGTGACAGAGGGCCTCCCCTATGATGAACACATGCCTGTGTGCACACGCATATTAAACACACAGAGGAAAGGCAGGGCTCAGGGTGTGTGACAGAGGGCCTCCCCTATGATGAACACATGCCTGTGTGCACACGCATATTAAACACACAGAGGAAAGGCAGGGCTCAGGGTGTGTGACAGAGGGCCTCCCCTATGATGAACACATGCCTGTGTGCACACGCATATTAAACACACAGAGGAAAGGCAGGGCTCAGGGTGTGTGACAGAGGGCCTCCCCTATGATGAACACATGCCTGTGTGCACACGCATATTAAACACACAGAGGAAAGGCAGGGCTCAGGGTGTGTGACAGAGGGCCTCCCCTATGATGAACACATGCCTGTGTGCACACGCATATTAAACACACAGAGGAAAGGCAGGGCTCAGGGTGTGTGACAGAGGGCCTCCCCTATGATGAACACATGCCTGTGTGCACACGCATATTAAACACACAGAGGAAAGGCAGGGCTCAGGGTGTGTGACAGAGGGCCTCCCCTATGATGAACACATGCCTGTGTGCACACGCATATTAAACACACAGAGGAAAGGCAGGGCTCAGGGTGTGTGACAGAGGGCCTCCCCTATGATGAGCATATGCCTGTGTGCACACACACACTAAAAAGGAGAAAAGGGCCACAGCCCTAGAATGCTATTTCTTATTTCTGATGACAAGGTTACACACGATTTTTACTGTTTGTATTTTTCAGAACTACAGATGTAGTTTTCTCGTAATGAAGAAAGTAGTCATAAAATAAATAGTTTAAAAGCCAGCCACCTATCAAGTTAACTGCCGCGAACATTTCTGAAACCAATGTGCAGCCCAGCACATTGGTGGGGCAAGCCTCAGGCACTGCTGGGAGGCCGAAGCCATGTGCGGCCCAGGTGCGGGGCCCACGTCGACCAGGGCAGGGCATGCACATGCGTGGGCACCCCTGCCCCTGGCTGGACAGGGGCTGGGAGGAGGGGCATGGCAAAATCCTCTCAAGGATGCCAGCTCTTCCTCCCACTCGCTCTCACTCTTTCTTGCTCTCATGAAAGAAAGAAACTTAAAACACCTGTTCAGTAGGCAGCGAACTGAACTGCAGTGCTGGAAGCCACATGGCTGTCCACGTGTTCGCATCCCATGGTCAGCTTCTAAACACACCAGGCATGTGCACGTGCCTAGGACCCTAGGGCAGGGGCTGGGAGCAGGGACTAACTACAGTGCAGGGAGACCCTGCTAGGAGTGCTTCCCTCCCGCTCTCCCTCTCTCCCCTCCCATGCAGGTTCATGTGTTCTCTATTATGAACAAATTGAAGTTGTAAAAAATGTTTTAAAAAGAAAATGATTTGCTAAAAGCTGCGAACAGCTGGAATGCTCAGCAGCAGGTAGAGTCCGTCACCTACCCTAGAGAAGCCCATCCCCACCCCCAACGCTCAGACCACAGAGGCCTGGGCCGTGTGGGGAGTGCAGACAGGGGGCGTCTCTGGAGAAGGAGTGGTGTGGTCGACACACGCCGTGGCTTCGTTTCCTGGAAGAATACTCGAGAGACGGCTAACGGCTAATGCTGAGAGAAGGGGCTAGAAACGTCCGAACTGATCGGTTAGAATCTCTTTCTGCATCTCTCCTCCTCATTCTTTCTTGTTTTGTCTTGTTTTTGGTGTTTGTTTGTTTGTTGTTGCTAGAAGGTGTGGGCCTCTACCAGAGCGAGAGAGAGGAGGAACATGCTCCCCCATGAGGACCGGCCACTGCTCAATCCCTTCTCTCCACCCCCGGCCTGTCGGGGTGCTGGGCACACACGTGCGCTCCGCATGTCTCCCAAGCTGCCTGGCCATGTGAGACCCAGCGGCCTTAACCACTGGGCCATAGGGCCAGCTGCTTATTATCTTTATTTTAGGGAATAAACTTATTGGTGAGGCTAAGTGTTAAAATTACGGACACTATTAGATTCATTCTTAAATTTTTCTGAATCTAAGTGTGTTCTCATAGAATTAAAGAGGCATTTCTCATTCCTTTATTACACACAAAACTAACTTAACAAATTGAAAAATCAGAAGCCAAGTCTGAAATTGCACATTCAGGGGCAAATACGAAGCGAACGCTCGCGCTGAGCTGAGGACACAGGCCTGCCGAGCCAGAGCCAGCCACGTCCCTTCGTTTTCACTGCAAACATCTCCACCTCAGAGGGAAGGAGGCTGATCTGCACGGTCCCCCAAGCTGCGCACGCCAAGCCGAGCACCAAGATCCAATGCTCTGTCTTAACACGGACTGGGGACCGTGCGCCAGGCGGTGGCCACAGCTGCTCACGGAGACGCCGTGACACACCCACCCCAGTGAGAGTCTCTGAGTACGTGCTATGTGAAGTGCCCCAGTCTCTGCATCTCATTTCTGAGGACAATTAAAGTCACAGATTCAGAAGCTGGGTAAGGGAGCTGAAATGGCGCATGCACACGTTCACACCACACCCGTTCGGGGGTGGTGATGACACACCCCTGCTGACGTCTGCAGCACCCCACAGGCCGGCTCTGGCATACGAACCGCACTCCGAGCCTGGGCCCCCTTTCCACCTCGCCTATGCCTTGCCGCAAAGGCACGCCTTCTGCTAGGGCCGATTCCCCAGGCTCGGTGTTCGTGTCGACCTGAGCACCGTGTTTGTGTCTCTGCTGACCACACGTCTATCCAGAAGGCAGGCATCAGGGAGCACACGCCACGAAATATTTAGGACGGCCTGGCACTCCGCCCGGCTGACTGGCTGTGACAATCAAGCCTGCGCTCCTGCAGGCAGTGGACGGCACCTGAGGCCGGAGAAGCACTGACCTGGGGGCGCGCCAGGGCAAGAGGCCCCCTCCGACCGGCTTGGCTCTGGACCACCACGACTCAGCCCGCTCCCCTGCAGCCATGGTGCAGGGGTGGCACCCACTCAGGCAGAAGTCTGAGACACACGTTTGCAGTGACGGTCTAAGGGCTTTGGGCCCGAACTGCCTCCATTCTCACTCCTCTAGGGTGGCAGGCAGTGTTCTACCCTGGACTGCATGTGACGGAGTCAGAATATTCCATAAACACTTGATTCTCAGCAGCCTGGTAACGTACGCAGGGCAGGGGAAGCCCCAGGGTTAGACGACTCGCCTACAACCACAGCAATAAAAGCCAAGCTTGCGAATGCCTAGCGCCCGTGCATTCCGGGCACTGTTCCAGACGGCCCTTCAGGGAACTCACGACGTGACCTGAGAGCGAGCTGACTCTCTGAGACCCCGACCCACGAGCACGCGGGCTGGGGGGGCGTTCTGGAGCATAGGTCGCCGAGCCGGTGTGTTCTGGCGTCTGTCCTAGGACATGACTATAGCACGTACTGACGAAGCACATCACCGGATTGCGATCATTCCACACTTCGCCATGCTATTCCACAGACTCCGCATCCAAGAAACCCTTCCACAAAATTAAGCTGTGTCTCCCGTTTCCAAAAATATGGGAGCCAAGAACTAGGAATCCCCATCGACCTTTTGTTAAGACCGACTCTGAGGCCTTGGACAGTAAGGAGACTTACCCAGGAGGCCCGGCGACTCCCGACATCCTATCCCTTGTATAGACATTCCTTCTGACTAATCTGTGGAAGACCTGATACTCACTCTCCTCTGTGAGTGATCGAACTATTTGAGATGAAATGAAGTATTCTTTTGTTATATTTCTTCGATCGAATGCCAGTGTTTTATTCTTACTGTACATCAACTTAACGTTTTTCCCCTTTTTCAGGTTTTTGACCCAGGGAGCATATACTTGCTGGAGAAAGAGAGGGAAGTGGGAAATCACCCCCAGGAGGGATGGCCACCCTGCGATTCCTGCTCTTCCATTCTCCTGTCGGGATTCTCCGCACACGGGAGCAGGCGCCCTGAGCGATTTCTCAGGTCACCAGATCTGGGACTCAAGCCACTGTCAGCCACATGAGAGGCCATGCCCTAACCACTACGCTGCCCACTCCCACCCCTATTCTAAATAACCAGAAGGGGAGTGCATTCACCAGAAGGAGAAAGAAACCCACTCCCAGGGGGTCGTTTCCCACCTTCCCTCTCTATGCATCTCTGTCTGTGTCTCTCTGCCACGTGTATGTGCCTTAGAGCAAAAGTAAAACTAAACATGCATACGTACACATATATGTATTAAAACTTGAGTTATGGAAAATAAGATTGAGGGGTGGGTACTTAACGACACTGCACACTGCATCTCCTAGTAACAGCACAGAGAAAAAACCAAAGCGACCTCTCCGATGGCACGCCCCTCCTTTCTGACCAGGCACCTGCGAGGTCTGAACAAAGCACTCGACAACCCCAGAAACTCAAGCTCTTTGAATGTTTAGATGTTGTCTTTTCTCCAAGGTCAAATTCCAAAGATAAACGCAGAGAAAAGTCACACAGGAGATGGGGAGGCAGGCCCCGGGGCAGGCGCGTGCTGAGACCCACTCGGTGTGCTTACACTGTGATGCAATTTCATCAGGCTTGGAGAGAGGCTCGCGGGCACGGATAGCCCCTTCCCACGTGCTTCCACGGCGCTCGGGTCCGAGTGCTCGCCTGTGGGTATCCAAGCCCCTCTCTGCACCCAGCTGATCATGGACTCGGAACCACTTCAAGCCGCCCCTTAATCACTGAAATGGAATACCTACTGTTGATCAGTTCTTTGTGCTCAGCCAGGGTCTTGGCGGGATCCAGCCAGTACTGTGTGAGGAAAAGGGTAATGACAGAAATTAGTTGCTTCTCACTGGCCTTGATATCAAGAACATGTGCAAAATGCTATCTAAATGACATTTAAACACTTGATAAGTAAAACGTGTCATTTGTCATAGATACACACAAACATACATAAGAGATTTTGTATGAACAAGAACATTCAAGAAGAAAAAAGTGAGGAGTTCGAGAGGGGCAGAGAAGGGAGCAGGACTTCTGGGGGCTGGCTGGTCACACTGCTGGCCAAGTGGTGACACCAGGCACTGGTGAGCGAGCGTCCTGCTGGGGAGGGAAACGGTGGCCGCAGAGAACGCCCTCCGAGTCTCTCCCCGAAGCCCATCACAGCGCCCCACGGCTGTGCCGGCCCCGAGAAGTGCCCCTTCTTCAGCTCCAGCCCCCTGCAGGCACAGCCGCTTGGTGTTAGGAAGCCATGGAAGCCATCAGATAAAGCCACTCCTTGTAGAGATGAAGGAGAGCAGCCCCTCGCTGTGCAACTGGCTGAGTCCCGGACGCCTCCGGCTCCCCCATTATCGCCATGTAACCCCGCACACAGGTCTGGACTTCTCTGCCCCCCTCGGGGGTGGCTGTGCAGGCCAGGTGAACTCACGGTGAGTCTTTGGGACAGCCCCTGGCTCAGACTAAATAGGTTAGGGATGATGGTGAAGGTGTGCAGGATTTTTTTTCGGTTATGTGCACCTGGCAAAGAGAGAGAGCATGAATCACCCCCCAGGGGCATGGCAGGCCACGATCCCTTCTCCTCCTGGGATTTGGGGCGCACACGCACACATGCCTGGTGTGATCTTCAAGTCACTGGGTCCAGGACTTGAACCATGGTCTCAGCCATGAGGGAATCCAGCCACTTAACCACCAGGCCACCTGCTGGCCCCTCATCCTCATTTTTGAAAGGTCTAGAATGACTCACTTTCCACGGTATTTGGCTGTTGACCAGCCAGTTGCTCCCGGAGCCCACGGTGACTAAAGGTGAGCTTCTGGTGTGAAAACAGCAGCGGAGACTGACTCTGGCCCACCAGGCGGAGCAAGGTCCACCCAAGCGCCCATCGTGGGGCACAGGAGACACTCTGGCTGCGAAGCTACGACTCCCCACGAAGGAAGCAGAGGCAGGACTGCTCCTCGCCATTCGTGCTCAGTAGGAAGGGTTGACCCGACGACCCCTGGACTTCTCCAAGAGGGGAAACCCACGGAAACAAACACAGACACCGGTTAACACCTGCAGGCGAGGCGGTCTCCACTGCAGCCAGGGCGAGCTAGTGCACACGGCCATTACCCCACCCTCCTCTCTCAGCTTCGGGTCTGACACCGGGACGCAGGTGGCTGGGCCCCCGGGGCTGTCCGGAGAGGGCGTCATCCATGAGAGCGCAGAAGGGCGGGGTGCATAATGGGGTTGTCCGAGGCTCCTGGGGTATCCGCAGATGTTGACACACACAAGGAATTGGGCCTTAACCTTCAGCCTTAACCAAATAACACAGGAAGCCCCAGGAAGGGCTCGTGGCGAAAAAGCTAGGGGAGAAGGGGCCTTTGGTCTTGAAACCAGTAGGAAGCAAAACCAGAAGAGGGCTTTTCCACTTCTCCCCCAACACCGTCATCCCAGGCGGATGGGCCACATGGATTCTTCAACTCCTTTTTCATTTCCCTGTCTCCAGAGTGTTTCCCTCATTTCAAAAGTTGAACAAATAAAACAAGAAGAAAACTTTTTTTAAAAAAAAACTAAATGCCATGAGGAAAGACTAGTTCTAACCTATTAAAATAACTTTCACACAGGGACGAGCAGGTGGCATGGTGGTTAAGCCACTGGGCTCCCACAGGGCTGATGGCAATTTAAGTCCTGGACCCGATGGCTTGCTTTCTCACTCTCTCTCTCTCTCTGTCTCTCTCTGGTGACATGTGCTCTATAGCAAACTTTTAAAAAATCATAATCATAAATAAAATAAAAAACTTAAAAAAAGAAAACTGGGACCAGAGGTGGTATTGTGGACTCCCATATGGCCAACCATGGTTCAAATCCTGGATCTGGTGGCTTGTTTTCTCACTTTTCCTTTCTCTCTCTCTCTGGCCAAATTACTACCACTACTACTAGTACTACTAATAATAATATAATAATAAAAATTTAGATTTTTAAAAAAGTCTCTCACAGTAATCATAATCTATACAATTTTAACAAAACCTGTCCTTGATGCTCATTAACTTTGCGAGGTGAAGAAACACAATGGAGGCTCTGAGATGAGTAGAATCGTGGTTCTGTAGGAAGAGGGAAGGCCCGTCAGGCCACTCAGCCCACACACTGCACATCGGGTATGCTAAGCACTGCCGCCGAACTGGCTTGTGCACCGCTCCCCCGTGATCGGACTGGAAGCCGGGGTCGCGGCGGTCAGACAATGATGAACGACCAGCACAGAAACAGTAAGCACAAGCCCCCAGTCTCACAAGCCAGCACCTTGAACATGAAAGCCACTTACATTCGACGCAGGGGAAGCTATGACGGGGAACCAAAGGCCCCGCACAGGACGGCACTTGTCACTGCTGAGCAGCCACCAGCCGTCACCCGCAGCACGTCAGGCCACTGCGCCACTGCCCAAGAGGAGGCCCGAGGACCCGCCAGCGAGCACAACATCCCCACCGTAGGGACAGCACCTAGGAGGCCGAGGGTGGGCTCCACACTCGGGGGTCATTCATTTAATGTCACGTAACCGCTAGACGTGTTCTTCGTAGTAACGGCCAGGCAGCGCGTGTGCCTGCCAGACAGAGACACAGAATGAGAGCATGAGGGAGAGAGAGCACACCCGGGGGGCGTGGCTACATGGCGTCCCTGGCCTGCACCTCTGCAGCTAGGCAGGGTTTGGGAACACGCGCACACAAACCGCTGCGTGGGACTCAGGCCCTGGCCCGCCGTGCGGGATCCAGCTTCCCTTAACCTCTGGGCTATGAAGCCAGCCCCACACGTGTTCTGTACATGCCACGTCAGACCCTGCACCAGGAGTGTGGGAACACGAAGACGGGGAGACCCACCTCTAGCCTTCCGGTACTCGTGGCCAAGCGGGAGGTCACAGGCTACCCATGCACCTACAGTCCCACGTGCCGCGAGAGGTGATGTCAACACGAACACGCTGAGTGCGTGACTCATGGAATTCAGGGTGAGGGAACGAAGGCTTCACTAGGCAGAGACCCACGGGACAGTGCGTGTTCATGGAAAAACCATCCTTAAAACACGTAAGCGGTAGGACGGAGCCCTACATTTTCACGAAACACGTGTCTGTCAGCTCCTCTGATGCAAACAGGTCCACTCTTCGGCGACAACATGAATTCACGGCTCCGCGTCCTTGACGACCGAGTACTGTAGGG